TAGCAGCTTTTTTCCATAGAATATTCATACTGACAAACCTAGTGACTTTTTTGGATAAACCTTAGCTATGGTTCAGTTGGAAGATTTCGCCAGTGCTGTCCCGCGAACGCGAGGTCTGACTTTCCCGGAGAAGTGTCGCCTCTCTCGGCGTGTGTTCTGTGCAGTGAGCGGCAGAGAAGCACCGCAGCCGACTCCTCAATAAACGAGTACACAACAGCGTTTCCCAGCACCTGTCGCTTACTGAGTGTTTGGAATTATAAATATGAGCGTAGTTCATCTGTTAATATCACATGCACTTTTTTGCTTGTTGTTGTTTTTAGTTTATTACTCAGACGCAGGCAGTGCGCTGCATGAGACAAAAAAGTAATATAGCCAAAACAACCGCATAGTCGCTCTTTTAGTGTAGATGCATGCTGATTTCATCAGACGATGCCGTGATTATAAATGAGAGTGACTCCTGGTTAACATGCATTAAAAGGGGTCGTGTTTAGTCACTATTTAGTGTGGTATTTTTGGACAATATTCACTCATCATGACAGTAAAATAGGGCATTCTAAGTCAATATACTGCAGTATTTCCTCTCAATCAGTAGAAAATATGGTTAACACCTGGTAATGCATGAAAAAAAATAATACCGTCATGTACCGTGAAACCGGTATCATTTTGAAAAATACCGTGATATAAATTTTTGGTCATACCGCCCAGCACTAAGTCATAATGTGCATTCTTTTTTAGTTCTGTAGTCTAAAGATATAGGTAGTATTGTGTCAAAAAGCAGAAATAAAACATTTGATCAGTTCTGCAAATCTGTTATTGGTTGTTTATATATGAAAATAACATGCATTGTACCAGCTGTGAAAGGATAATATTGGTCTAGCTCTACCTACAACACGTATCTTTGACCGTGCATAAATCACCAGTCCAAATGTCATGTCATTTTGCACACATAAGCACAGTGAAGCTGCTCTTTCATATGGGGAAGTAACTGTGAGACAATAACCAAACTGAGTGTGACTCAAAACCGTTGATCTGTCGATCTAGTCAATATTTTTGGGCATCATAAGAAAACATTTTTTTTCAGAATGAACCGATTATAGTCAAAAATGCGTTGTGCGTCTACGCTGACCAAACGCGCTGTGGTTCTGAACCACAGCCAATGGCTGGCTTGAGCGATTTTCTCTTTCCAAACCCATTCCTGCCATCTGTGGCAAGGCCTTTTACTATTTTTGTCTTGCTCTTTGAACCTTTAAGCCAAGATGTGGTGGTTTGCGCATGTTAACCAGTGACAGGCGTTTAAAACGCGTAAAAGCGCAACGAAAGTTGCGTTGCTTTGCGCTGGAGAAGCGCCAAACTCCACCCGCAGGAGAAAGTTCACGAAGACCCAAAATTGCATGCTCTTATATACATTTCGTTGTACGGCATCGGAAACCAGCGTGTTTGTATAGCTATCAGACAAATAAACAACGCAAAAACGTATGAATAAATAATGAAACTTTAGTAGGCTTTTCCTCCACGCGCACCTCTTACCTGGTTTAGCTGGTTTGGGGGGAGGCTTTGACATTTCTGAACTCTCCAAAGGCTTTTAAAGAAGACTTCCGAGTTGTTTAAGATAATAATACGTAAAAACGGTATTAAAAACTGCTAAGAGTGCAAATGAAACAGTCTATCGTTGCTATCTTCCTTTAGGCGCTGTCAATGAGGAAGCGTTAAGGGGCACAATGCGGAAAAGTTGCACTGCGCATGCGCAGAAGTCTGAAATTGTCCTGCCCTTATGACAATTTTACTATGGTAACATAACAATAGTTACTATGTTGCATATAAATGCATATAAAACTATTTATTTGAAACTTAGATATAAATCTATTTGCTGCAAGTTATAAACCTTATGGGACTGATATAATTATCCCTTTTAATAATGATTCATGTATTTTATTCTAAATATGTAGTCGATGACGAAACTGCAAATGATTCATTTTCTGTTTTTGCAATATGGAAAACAGCATGTCTATTTTGTTAGCTTTAGTTCTGCTATTATTTCTATAAATGATTGTTGAAATGATTGAATGGGGTTTGATGCAAGTCTTAGATTTAGGGAATGTATTAATAACATTAACCAACATCGATGAATTACATAATGCTTAACAGTAGTGTAGACAATAACAAAACATTACTGACAAATATCAAGATAAACTTGTCTTTTTAGACAGCATGCATGGTCAACAGTGGTAAGTTAATCTAAAATACTAAAAAAAATAGTAAACAAATGCAGGACATTTTTCTGCACTTTTTTAAAAACTCCTTTTAATACTCTCTAAAAAATGCTGGGTTAAATATAACCCAGTGCTGGGTTAAAAAGGGACAAACCCAGCTATTGGGTTGTTTTGACCCAGCGGTTGGAATGTTTTGAACCTAACCGCTGGGTCAAAACAACCCAATAACTGGGTTTGTCCTTTTTTAACCCAGCGCTGGCTTATATTTAACCCAGCATTTTTTAGAGTGTACCTAGCTCACAAATGAAACCATGAGTATGTATGTAAACCTCTAGACTTGTGAGGAGACACATAACATTGGTCTGCACCAACAAGTCGGTTTACATTGCAGGCAAGTTTTAAGGAGCTGCCTCAGAATAGCTCTGCTTTTAGTCATTTCTGTTTTAAAAACTGACAACCCAATAGCTGGGTTTGTCCCTTTTTAACCCAGCGCCGGGTTATATTTAACCCAGCATTTTTTAGAGTGTACCTAGCTCACAAATGAAACCATGAGTATGTACTGTATGCAAACCATTTAACCCAACCGCTGGGTCAAAACAGCCCAATTGCTGGGTTTGTCCCTGTTTAACCCAGCACTGGGTTGTATTTAACCCAGCATTTTTTTAGAGTGTAGCATTACATCCACTGTCCATGTAGACCTGTCTATTATCTAAGTTCTGAGCTAAAAAAAGGATGTTCGATGTTATCACTGAGTACATGGAATTTTAAGGCGTTTTCCACATGATCAGAAAGAAAACTCACTCTTACCTTTGTAAAAAATTGACCTCTTTACACATTTTCACTGTATTTTTTAAATTACATAGGATAATGTAAAATGCATTTGCAAATGCATTGCTTTTAGTTAAAAGTTAAAAGGAGTGAAACCTTTGCTTTATGAATCCAGTGGTGTCTCAAAATATATTTTACTCTTATTTAAATTCTGGTTAGCAGCTAATGGGATGTTTCGTTTGTTCTGTGTTAATGGTTCAGGGTTATTAGCTGAAATCTTCTTCCTTTTGGGCTCTTCAGAAACTCATGGCCATGCAGATGTGAGGGACATGTTGCACGGCAGGCGACTCAAACAGAATTTAAAATGCACAAACACGTTTATTAATGGCTTCATCTAAGAAAACCGGTTGTTCTTCCAGCTACCGCTCTTCTGTAGAGTACCATAGTTTTTTGGCCTCAAATTTCAGGGACAGTAATTAATGACCCACGAGGCCGTGTTCACACACAGGCACAAAATGTGTGCACTGGTGGTATTTTGGCTTCTCTCTCTTTATCTGTTCATTCATTCTTTTCATTCCAGACTTGATGTGTCTCATATTCCATCCCAAATATTTCAAAGATCCTCGGCCAAATTCAGTTCCAGTGACTCACTTACATCACTGCATGTAAAACGTCCTCACAATTGACCATTACAATTAAAATAAAGATGGACAATTTTCATGTTTATATCGCATTCAGATCTCAACAGCAGAAAAAAAAGTGGAGGTACAGTATTATAAACATTCAGCTTCATAGCTCAGTGACGTGAAATGGAAAATTAATCTCACATAATGACTTGTGTATGAATGACCAGTGGATGTATTCTACAGGTGAACTCTCGTCAAACATTTATCTTACAAAAGGCGCCTACAAACACGCACAAACACACATTAGCTGTGTGTGTGTGAAGGGAAACCTCCCTATAAAAGCTCCTCCTGGACGATAAGTACATGACAAACAGAAACTCAACACAGAACTCAGCTGTCAGCTGCCATGAACCTACAGTGCCTCTCCTCTCTGCTGCTCTGTGTCGGTGAGTTGCGTTTTCTCCATCCTGATCTGACCCTGTGTTATATTAGATTTGACCTGTCAGCTTCGGGTGTGCCACGGTAATAAAAAACCTGGAAATCGTAGGGGAATTAAAACTGTGATATCCAGTTCTGAAAAAATCATGGAAATGTAAACAATCTTTTTTTTTTTATCCGTGAATATATGAATTTCTAGTTATGCTTTGCTCTAAAATATTTATATTGCTTAGAAACTTTGTCATTTTGATCACAAATTATGTAAAATAATTAAAAAAATCCTTGTCCAGTGATAAAGTAACAACTGGAAAAATGACGAAAAGTCAAAAAGTGGGTGAAATTTGCAAGATATTCTCTTCCATGTTGAGTGTAAATGATCTGCAGTTGCTTATTATTATTTATTGGTTTACTGTATTTTAATTTCACTTTGACAACTGACAGAAGACAATCGACTGATGAATATGAAAGACTCCAAGATAGTAAGTCTCTCGCTGAGTGAAGTGTGGTGTTGTGTTTGTGTCTCCTGACAGGCAGGCTTTGGGAAATTGACTCGACCTGTAGTAACATGCCTCTGAATAGCTGTGAGCTCCGGCTTTTTTTCCATATAGGTGTATGCCAGAACACCACACAGTTTAAATCTCGGCTGTCTGTTGTCATGTTCGACGTCACAAAGCACTTATTGTTAATGGCAAAGGACAGAGAATTAGGGCGTCACACCGCAGTGTTAAATATATATTTAGCTTTGCGAACTAATGTTATAAAGGTCATCCCCGCACACAATAATAGGTGTGTGTGCGTGTGTGTGTGTGTGTGTTAGTGTGTGTGTGTGTGTGTGAATTTCTTTGACAATTAAATGCAGAATTCCAGTCGGTAGGAGTGTTCAGATCAAATGCATTTACTCAAACATTCTCAGTGTAGACTTGTTTGACTGCAGCCGTCGCCAGATGATACCTGTGAGAGAAAGGCACATACACTACTTTAAAAGGTCGGAATGTCATTGAATTACCACATATTTATTCATTAGAAGAAAAACAGCACATGCACGCTTTTCATGCAAAATATTTGACAGCAAAGTTTGTTGTTTAATATAGTGATGTTCTAAAATAAAGTTTTCCGAGGCTCTGTGTTTGTAAAACATTAAAGGAACATGTTAATAGTTAAATGTGATGAAGAATAGAATATGTGCAGAATAAAATGCCATGCAAAATTACAATTAGTGCTTGATAGACTGGATCGGACTGCCACACACCCAGGGCTGGTGGAATTTGTTTCTGCAATTTTCAGACAATGGCACCTTTGATTACTACAATTCAAGCCAAGAGGAAATCAAACGGATGCTTTTTCCTGGTCTTTTTGTTCATTATTCCAAGGTTGACTTTGTAATCTTTCATCAAAACGTGATGATCAAAGCTTACTCCACCTATGCAACAACGTTACCATGGTTACTTAAGTTTCAACCAACAGATGTTGGCTGTGTTTCGGGATGGGAGTAGTCCTTCACGTTCACATTCAGGTCTGGCTCCAATCTGCTATATAACGCCCACTTTTTTTTTGTTTTGTTTTTTATCCCAATCAATTCCTGATGGATAAAATCAAGTCCCGGCCTACATTTTTTTCTCACTGAATAGCATGTTTCACTGTGGAAATGAATCACATGGGTTGTGAACACTGAGACCTCCTTTGATGCAAACATTGTTTTATGTTGTCTTAACCCTGACATATCAAATAATAGTCTGAAAAATCATTTTTTTAATCAATTTATTTTTAATGGAATAGTTTATTGATTTTATTGCATGATATATAGAATATGGAGGCAAAAAAAAAAAAAAAAATAACAATTTTGGCCCAAATTTGGTGCAGTTGCTTATATTTATATGGCCAAAAAGTAAGATGATAGCTTTAAATTTAAATCTTTATATCAGTACAGCAGACTATATAAAATGCATACAAACATCAGTTATCTCCCAATAATATGATATTTAAATGCTTAGTTTTATGATCAAAGCTCTGTAGTTTGTAGTGTGGGGGCAAAACATATAACGCAATGCAATACAGTGATGACTGAGAGATTACGCATTTGACAAATTTTCAATGAAACATCATTTTCCTAATCAAAATCATCGTTTTATTCATCAAAAGTGCCATTCTTCATGTAGAAAACCTAATCCCAGACACGTAAACTAAGATTAAAGGGCTAGTTCACAGCTGACAAAATGGGGTTTTAATAAAAGTTGGCAAAATCTGCAAACTTACCTTTAATAGCTGGTCTGTATGGGTTCTGTGCAGTATTTATATTCGCATACCTGTCATTATATTGTGTATTTTAGCATGAATGGAACGCTGTGTTGATCGTATCGGATTCTGAACTATGTATTTTATAAGCAGGTGTCCAACAAGACAAGAAGACATAAAGCACTCTAATGTTATATTGTATTTGCAGCAGGTGCAGCTTTACCTCACATAACCTCAATATTTTCCACTCGCTTATGTCTTGCACTCTTGTTTTCCCTCTCTCTCACACATACACAGATAATCTGCTCAGTACAATAAGCACGGGGTGTTTACAGGATGACTCAACATCAACCGCAACATTAGATTAACCTCTCTTTATATCTGCTAATTGAGGTTAATGTGTCATTGTGATATAATGAAGCGTTTGATCCTGTTTTTATGTGCAAACTGGGCCGAAACCAGTGTTGCTGGCCGAAACTAAATACAAATCAGCATTCCTCCCAAAGCTGTTACTACATTCCTGCTGTGATTCATAGTGTGTGTTTCTGTGTGTAGTTTGCAGTGCAGTTTCCACCAATACGACAGCTGCTGCTCACACACCTGCACTGGATCATGTGACCGTGATGTCTTCATCTGGGGAGGGGCTTCAGAGGGCTGTGGGTGAAGATTTGGAATCTGATGATGATCAGGATCCATCAGGAATGTTCAGTGTTCCAACTTCGTTTAAAGGTACAGTCGAACAAACCCGTCCACTTGCTTGACAATCTCCCGCAGACGTCTGTTATTCTTAGAATAAGCTAATTATAATTACTGACCGTAATAACACCTTTGGCATTTTAATTAGGATATTAAATGCGTCATTTATGATTATGAACTAGAAAGGCTCAGAAATGAACTAATATGTCAATTTAACACATTTTCATTATACTAGCAATAACTGGGGGAATTTCACAAAAAGAACAAACAGTTCATGTTTCACTCTAAAATAAAAAGAAAAATAAGAATGCATAGTGAATTAAATGAATAGAGTAGGTAAGTAAACTATAAAAATGTAAATTAACTGCATGCAATAAAACAAAAGTGTGTGACAAAATGCTGAAGAATTCTGTTCATTTGAATTAAATGAAATACATTAAACAAGCAGCAAGTGTAGAGATATTTGGTGAAAAAGACCATACTTGCATCACTGTTTTACTGTATTTATGGCAACATTTAATTCAACTTTTAAAACTCAAAGTATAGAATTCAAATGCCAAAAACATTAAAGTATGAATCTTTCAGAAACCAAAGTCAGTAAAGGAGGTGTGAAGATGTCATTATTTAATCCTTACACAAACTTGCAAATATCTTCCATAGATGTCTGTTCTTAGATTAAGCTAATTATAATTACTGACTGGAATAACACATTTTGGTGTTTTAATTAGGACATTAAATGCATCATTAATGAACTACAAATGAACTATTAGTGAACTACTTTCGCAATAATAATAACTGAACAAATCTTACAAAAATATATATGTTTCAGTTCACATAAACTTATTTCAGTTAATCAGTTCATATTTTACTCTAAATTCAAAGAAAAAATAGGCATAGTTTGTTTGCACACTCTCTATTCAGTACCAAGCAAAGCATGCTGGGAACTGGAAATCCCTTGTCCAGTTTCAGCAATGCTACTGTACATTACTGGCAAGAAAAAATATTCATGTAATTCCAATGCAACTTACATTAACTCGATATATTAATTTCTGAACCTTTGTAGTTCATTAATGATGCATTTACTGTCCTAATTCAAATGAATTTCATGCAATAATACTAAATGTTGTGAATGATGATTCAATGATTCGTCAAAAACTGATGAAGAATCGCTTCATTAATGAATTGAGCAAACAACAAGTGTGGAGATATTTGGTGAAAAATACCTTTCTTGCAGTTCTGAACAATTTCTCAGAATTGTTAGACATAAATGCTGAATTGTGAGATATAAACTTGAGAATTGTGAGGGGAAAAAAAGTCAGAATTGTGAGACAATTAGCTTTTTTTCATGGCGGAAACAAAAAACACAATTGCAAGATGTAAACTCAGAATTCAGAGAAAAAAAGTCAGAATTGTTGATATAAACTCAAAATTATATCTTGAAATTCTGACTCTTTTTCAGAGAATTGAAAGATAGGCCTATCTCAGAATTGTGAGATACAAAGTCTAAATTACCTTTTTTATTTTTTATTTCATGGCGGAAACAAAAAAAAAAATGAAATGGTAAAATGTAAATTCAGAGTTCTGAGAAATAAATTCAGAAATGCAAGATATAAACTTGACTCTGTGAGATGTAAACTCGAAATTGCGAGTAAGAAAGTCAGAATTTTAAGGTTTATGTCTCACAATTCTGACTTTTTTCTAAGAATTACGAGATATAAACTCAGAATTGTGAGATATAAAGTCTAAATTTGTATTTGTTATTTCAGGGTGGAGACAAAATAAAAGAAATCACAAGACGTAAATGCAGAATTCTGAGAAAAAAAAGTCAGAAATGTGAAATATAAACTCAAAATTGCAAGATATTGCAAGAGAAAAAAAGTCTGAATTTGGAGTTTATGTCTCGGAGTTCCGAGTTTAAATCTAGCAATTCTTACTTTTTTCTAAGAATTGCAAGATTTAAACTCAGAATTCCGAGACTGGAATTCTGAATTGTGAGATATAAAATCACAAGTGCAAGCAAAAAAATAATAAATAATAAAAATCAGAATTGTGAGATAGAAAGTCGTAATTACCTTTTTTATTTATTCCATGGCAGAAACAGGCTTCTATACTTTTCTGCATGCACACTACATGGAATTCACATAAAGAGTTTATAATTAATGAAATTCAGTCAACATTGCATTAACGTTGTGTTCAAGTAACGAAATTCTGATTTATTTCAGATGTAAGAGAGGTTATGATGGGGAACGCTGTGGGATCCAGCTTCTCGGGACGTCTCGGGACGAGAGCAGCACTGAAACGACCCACACCGCGCTCGTCATTATGGCTGTCGTACTGTCAGTCATCAGCTGCCTAGCCATTCTGCTCATGGTCTGCGTGCAGTAAGTACATTCAGTGCTAAATATACACCCACACACACTCATTCATCTTTCACACACAAAACACACGCCTGGGATATAATTGGCACATATTGTGACAGCAGTTTGGACACACCTATTCATTCTTTATCATTATTATTGTAAATCATAACAAGTCATTAATACTACAAGATAACTCTACCCAGCTAACGTTCCAATTAAGTTTCCCATTGTTTCTGAATGTTCTCTGAACATTCTAAACATCAGTTTTAAAAACGTTTTTTCTTTGTAATGCGAATATTAAAGGGGTCATATGATGCGATTTAAATTTTTCCTTTCTCTTTGGAGTGTTACAAGCTCTTGGTGCATAAAAAAGATCTATTAAAGTTGCAAAGACTAAAGTCTCAAATCCAAAGAGATATTCTTTATAAAAGTTAAGAGTCAACCACGCCTACCTAAAACGCCTCGTTCTAACACACCCCCACATGTCTACATCACTGTGACACGCCAAAATGTTCAAGCAAAGACAGAAGGCGTAACTTTTATTCTCGCTGTAGTATTGTTGACGCCGCCGCCATGTCCTGAAGGCGCTGTGTTTCGTTGTGAAAGCGAAACTACTTTGTTTGGTCTTCCAAAAGAGGACGATATCTGCTTCGTCATGCCTGGAGCTGATCCGTGCTGGTCGCTGAGGGAATACATCAACTTTGCGCTGTGGATCGCCGGATCGGCTTTCACCGTGGACGAAGCGGAGTCCAGCCCGGGGTCGTCACATGTGGTTGCCGCAAGCCTCCTTCGTCGAATCTGCCGGCCGCGCCGTTCTCAACCCCACCGCCTCTGCTCACTCTAGCCCGGCCTCAGCTCACGCTAGGCCGCGGTTTCCACTCACGCTAGGCCGCCGTGTGTCTCGTTGTGAAAGCGAAACTACTTTGTTTGGTCTTCCAAAAGAGGACACGACTAGAAATCAGTGGTTAAGTTGTATTTACAACACTGTTCCAGAACAGTT